ACATTGGCACTGAGAGTATGTTGTTGTGTTGTTTGTCTTAAGACATTTACAACTTTTTAATTTGTCATTTTAGGCAGGTGAGAACTATTTTGAGTAGGGTCCTGCCCATTGGTCATGGTTAGGGAGGCTCAAGACGACTCTCTGAACTTACAAATACAAGCAGAAAAAGTAGTTTTTACACACGCACGCATTTTTTGACAAATAACTTTTATTAATAATATGACATTTATAATATAGTTTAGAATTGTTTTTCTAAACATTTGTTTCTGTTTGAAGCAGAGATGCCTCGATTGATCAGCAGTTTTTGAGCTTGAATAATTAATTACAGATGTTTGACGGATGTTTCACAGCAATAAAAAATAGATATTTGATAATTATGACCGGTTTAACACTAGCTCTAAGCAGCTTATAATATGTCATTAAAACTACCAATGCTGAGATTTGTTTGAATTAAAGCAATTATTTAAATTAAAATACAATCATTTATTTCCCTGATATTGACAATAACAAGGTAAAAGGATAATATTTGTTGAAATAATTTTTTGGGACAGTTCCAGGATGTGGTGAGAAAAATGTTAGCCCAGAGCCTCACTGTCAATTATGGTTCTGGAAAATCAGAATCGGGAATCAGAATCGTATGAGAAAATTCTATGTAACAGTTTGTGTTTGCAGCTGATTTAGATGTCTTAACTGATGATTTGTGGCCTTAATACTTGATCATGATGACCTTTTGTTGCTTTTGACTTTATCTGTGAATCGTTTAAATGTCAATATAGCTGATCGCACTGCACAGCAGCTGTCAATGACCTATATCTGAGTTGATTTTGTCTGACAGTGTCTACCGCAGCTCAACAGCTTGGTAATAACTGTCTGCGGGGAACTTGTTAGTGGCAGATTACTGATCAGATGGTATCTGATCAGGTTGGTATATAAATGTCTATATTTACATGGCACATTCATATTCAACATGATTTATTTCTAGACATGTACTTTGAGTCAGCTGCATGCTGGAAGTCTGTTGGTGGGAACATATTGAGTCACCATAAAGAGTTTGATGCTCAAGTGGAAACAGTGTTATTAATCACATGATTATGTCCAACATGGCTTAGAGACCACATACCGTGCCACCCAAACAAAAGATGGAATGAACTCCGATCTTGTAGTTACTGTTCACACAGGGTGAAAATGGCACCGCGACTCTTCAGCATCATCCTCTTCCAGCTGTTCTCATGTGACTCCACCTGGAAACAGCTGCTGTTCTGGTTTGATCTGTCCTGTCTGGCTCACGGTGATAGTGGTTGAATGATAACTGGCAAAACTCTGGTAACTTGTGAACATTACCTGACCATTTAAATGATCTTAACACAACATTATGGGTAGTCTACTATTGGTTAGTGATGCAGCGATTGCAATTTTGTTGGCCAATTACGATATTTTAAAAGTCTGACCTACCGATACTGATTTTCTTTCTAAGAACTATTGTTGACAGCAAGGCTCTTGACTAACTATGTTTTACCAATGTCGCAAAAAAACTATTCCGAAGTCAGTTTTAACTGTCAAAAATTCTAAATGTTATCCTGTTACTTTGTTATTGGCAGCTATAGTGGTTATATGTATAAAACTCAATTAAAATGATAAAAAAAATAAATGCTTGTATTTTTATTTACATATTTGCTTTGATAAAAAAAAAATATTGGCATCGTTCGTTCTAAATATTTATTTATTAGCTGCTTCGAGCTAGTGTTAGGAAGTTAAACAGGTCATAATTCGCTCTCTAATATCTATCTTATATTGCTTTGAAATCGTCCGTTTTAAACAACTGGATTCATTCAAGTTTCTCACTATACTCTCATTTCACAAGATTACATCTGAACAGGGCTGGTGTTGGCGGTGTGATGCATATAGCAGATGTAAATCATTTTAAAAATATAATATTATTGTCATAGTTAGTTACCTGGTCCAGATGGATTCATACTCTGTATAGCCTACAGAAGAAAAAAATAGTATTGTACAAAATATTTTAGCCTTCCACGCATCAAATGAATGTGATTGATAGAACACAATGCTCCTTTAGTTTTAACAGTAGTGAGTGAATTTCCCAGTTAGATTTCTCCTGGAGAAAGTTGATTTCTTGACCGTGTTTAAATAACGTGTAAATAAGTGTGTTTCTAATCGGCTTCTTAAATGTGAGTGTGTGAAGATCAAAGACTTCAGACAGATATAGTAAGTGGACTGTAGTTGTTTCTCTCTTTTCTAGTCTTCTGACCACTCAAAGCTCTTTAACACTACATGTCATCATTCACCCATTCATACACTGATGACAGGGCTACCATGTTAGGTGATCAGAGCAATCCTGATTGAAGGATGGCTCTGCTCTACCACTGTGACAGTAACACTGATAGGATCATTGCACTATGTGTATCTATACCTTCATCACTACGTGCATCCTTGTTCCAAAGTTTGAATCAAAGACATATAGCAGCTAGTAGTATAATAAACGCCTGACTGTTTGTAAAGTGTGTACACTGTGTGCTCTCACCACAGAGCCTGTAGTGACAGCACACTACTCCAGTCATGGGTTTAGAACAGGGTCAGTAGAATGAACCATGACCTGCTGCATGTATATGTAGATTTACAGTATCCAGTGCATGAGGACTTAGTTAGTTATTCGATATCATGCATGACCTGATTTCTCTTGTCTGGTCATTGTCAACAATGCAGGATCATATGGCAAAAAAAAGTTGAACTTGGCTCGAGTACAATCACAATGTGACATCACTTGGCAACACACTGTGTTGGGTGATCAGATACATTCCAATAAATGTTCCTGACAGAGCCCTTTGTAAAGTCAAGGGGATGTTGATTCAAATCATCAGTCGACAAGCATCCGGGTAGAATCCCGTCTTCACAGTCCAATGATTGCAATTGTATTAGCTGTGTCATTCCCAAATGAAAATAAATGTATGTATATGCCTATGCAGCTAGCACAGAATCACCAGAGGTGATTGGGTCTGCGGAGTGTGTGAGTACCAATAAGCTTCTATTTGTGCTTCCATGATGTCAGAAGGGTTGTGGGGGGGCAGTTGCACGTAAACTCCCTTTGAATAGTGTGCGAACAGGGAAGTGGAAGGCTGGAAAGGCTTGCTCAGCTGCAGTCAGGGGGAAGTGACTGACGCGTGACGTGGTTCCACTGAGAAGGAAACGGTTCGTGTCATCTCAGGATAAAAGTTAGCTAAATCAGTCCAGGGAGTTTTGTTAACAGCAGGGGAGTCTCTCTTTGACGCACTATTGACATACTACTGACAGTAGTGTGGCAGCCCAGTTAAAAAAGGTTCATGCTGTCATTAAATGAAA